AGCTTGTTCTAAGTAGGTGCTTTAGACCACTGAGCCATCTCACCAGCCCCATCAGCATGTTTGATTTAAAAAAAATCACAATTGTGGTGAGCTTTGGAATGGAATGTCCTGAAAAACTAACTTGGAGGAAGACTGATGTGTTTACAGCCTCTTATCCTCTTACAGGGAAACCTCTTAGCCATCTAGGTAGGCCTGAGAGTTCTCCTTCATCAAAGCTTGGACCACAGCCACTGCAGAGAAAAGCTCGTATTTCCATGCTTTCCCTTGAAGAAAGCAGGGCTGGGAGCAAACTGCCAGAAGATTTGAAAAGGAGCCTAACAATCCGCTCTGGGGAGACAGGCTATTCAGGCAAGAGGCCTTGGAAACACAGCCATAGTTTGCCAAGGGGAGCCTGGGGATCACCCCGAAAACAGGCAGTTTCATAAGGCCCTGGAGTGGGGGTGAGTTTTAAATCTTCCTACCCCTACTGTGTAAGTGGAGAAAGTGAGGCTGGGCAATTATGGAGAGAAACCTCAGTGGGTCTGGCTTCCCTTTCTCCAGAGCTGAGCTGGACAGGAGGATCAGGTGCCCCTAACAATGGGGGACAATGTACTCTGCTCCCAGCGGCCCATCCCAGTCCCAAAAAGCTGGCAGAGGCAGGGGATACAGCTCAGCAGCATAAGCACCTGCCTGGCAAGTACAAGATCCTGAGTTTGAGCCCCAGTACTGGAAAAAAAAAAAAAAAAATCCTGGCTATAGTTCAAGACCACCACTGTCACCTTCCCAAAAGGCTGGTGGCCAAGTCTCAAGGTGGCACTTTCAACTGGTGGGGTCCCTGGAGTGGGCACTCCTTGTCCTCCACATCCTTCTCCCTTTAAGAAGAGACGGAGTCCTTGTTTCTTACTGTTCATGGAATTTATTGTCACTCATCAGCAGGCAGTGGGAGGGCAAAGCCACACCCCACCAAAGGCAGAGGTGGCCCTGGGCCACCAGCTTATTTACACAGGCTCCCCACAGAGGGCCACATCCTCAGTGGCAGCAGCTGCACTTCTCCGCCTCCGCCTTGGCCCCCTCCCCATCTTTGCACACACAGTCCTTGGCACACTTCTCACATTCCGCAGGGCAGCAGGAACAGCAGCCTGCAGATGAGAGGGGGCGTTCAGCTGGTTGCTCCTATCACAAGGGAGGTGAGAAGGACGGGTGTGGGGCTGGGAGGTGGTCCTGTTCAGCCAGGATGTTTTCACCCTCCTGCTCTCATGTCTCTGTGACTCAGCATCTGTGGTGCTGAGGCTGCGCTCCAGGCTGTTGCTAGAGGGTCACCCTGGACCTAGCCCATGCTCCTTCCGTGGGTGTCAGAGAGCTCCCAGGGATGGTATGGCTTAGGCTCAGGCTGAGAGAGTGCTAGACCTCAAGGAGGAAGCCTGCCAGGGTAAATGGCCTCGGAGGGGCCACAGGAAAAACTGTGAGAGGTGTAGCAGGCCAGGCAGCCACTGGGCTCTGTGCCTCCTCACATCCAAGAGACTAACAGACCCTCTCCCACTTCCTAACCCCTCCATGCGAACCACACTTCTGTGAGCTTGGGCAGGGTGCTCACACTGAGGGGTTCCCTCAGGCCTGAGAGGGGCCAAGGAGTGGAATTCCAGAGCTGCCCCCAGCTTTATTTGGATGGTCTCCCCAGATCCCGGAGGTTTTACAGAGAGGGCTCAAAGGAGGGGCTTGCTCTAGGACAGCGGTTTTAATCCTCAGCTGCCCTTTGGGGTCTTCTGTGAACTTACAGAAATTCCTCTCCTCCCCCACCCCCAGCATCTACTGCTTGGATCTCTGTCCCTTAAGGTCTGCCAGGGGTTTGCAAAGTGAGAACCGGGTCTTGGGTCCCTCTCGGCGGCGGGCAGGGAAGGGTGGTGCACTCACTCTTCTTGCAGTCGGTGCATTTGCAGCCCTCGCACTTGCAGGAGTCGGCGCAGGTGCAGGAGCCACCTAGAGGAGACGTGCACCGTAAAGGTTAATTAAAGCGGTGAACTCTGTGGCCCCAGGCTTTAGAAGAGATGAGCCGCCAATCTCCCCTCACTGCTCTTCCGGACCTGGACACTCTCATCTTTAAAAAGTTAAGAATAGGAGATAAGGGGCTCCTCCTGCTCCTGTCCTTGTGCAAAGCCTAGGGCGTGGGACTCTACAGTAAAGGGCTGTGCCTTGCCGAGGGACGGGTTCTCACCAGTAGGACAGGGGCAGCTCTCCGGGTCCATGTCGAGGCTGGCAGCCACTGGAGACACGGAATTGGCTTCTCCTGGCAACTGGACGCACTGCTTGACGGTTGGCAGCAGGGGGCGCGGCTTTTATAGCCCCAGGCGGGGGCGCGTGCAAAGCCCGCTGGGCTTCCGCCCCTGCTCTAGGCGGTGCTCGCTCTCCGCCTGTGCGCACTGCGACAGCGGTTCTCTGTCCTTGCTGTCACCGACTCGGATACCACGCAGGAGGAAGTGCGCACGCACCAGCTCTGAAGGTGCAGGGGGAGAGGCGTGCTGCGTACCCCTGCTTCTCATCCCACCCCCATCCCCGTCCTACAATTCTTGGCGTCAGTTTCACCCAAGCTGGGTGCTGGTCTGGGGGGCACAAAGCCAGATGCTGTTGCCCTGTTGGGTGCACTGACAGGGGACATTTTTCCTTGCATCCTGCCCAGCACCCTGATATCCCAGACTCTTGTCGCTCATTTGCACGAATCAGAAAAAGAGGGGGCCCGAGAGGCGTTTCAGAAAGAGCCAAGCCTAGAAGGTCTCAGTGATAGGATGTCACTGGGAATATTTTCCCCTTACCACCCCTAAAGCCCCTTCCCTGACTCATCTTACATCCAGGAAAGGTGCATATTAGAATCAAGGGAGAAGCTGATGTGATGACACACACCTGTAATCTGAGCTGCTCAGGAGGCTCTCAAATTTGATCTCAGCCTGAGCAATTTAGCAGGATCATGTCTCAAAATAAAATATCAAAAGGGCAGAGGATGTAGTTCATTGATACTGTGCTGCTGGGGTTAAGCCCCAGTACTGAAAATAAAAAATAACAACAAAAGCAGGGTGGTGTGGGGGTGTGATTTTCTAGACATTCCCAAATTCCCTGCATCCAGTCCCCAGTACAGGTGTGGGCTGGGAATTGGGGGTGCGAGGGGGAGGGCAGTTAAGAGGTCGAAACTGCTTTGAGAGGAGCTATTTTCTCTGTTCCAAGTCCAGACCTAGATCCAGCTCCCAGAATAACTTCCCCACCTTCTCAACTGACTGCTGGAATTCTGACACCGTGTGCCAAGGTGATGTTGGAAAGGTGACTCGAATTCCATTGTTACTATCTCTCCCACCTTCCAAGGGCTGAGCCCAAGAAGGCTCCTGGCCCAGCAGGTCAAGAGTGTAAGGCTTGCTAAAGTGGAGATGCTGCCTTCAAAAGGCAGGGCCATCCAGCAGCCCGGGGGCATGACATTTGGAAAGGAGAAGAGAAGGGGACAGGTAGGGGAGGAGCTCAGTGTCCTCGCTTGGTATGTGACCTGGACCAGTGGAGTCAAATGCACACACACACACACACACACACACACACACCGGTCCTCACTTCAGGCCCTGTTCCCAATCCAGGCGCTTCCTGAGAGGAGGGAGTTTGTGGAGACTTTTTATATTTATAATTAGCTTGGGGCCAACAGGTGAGAGCAGGAAGAGTGAGGGGTAGAGATCATGCAGGGTTGAACCAACTAAGGGATGGAAAATCCACGGTGAGCTCACAAAACAGCAAGGAGTCCAGCAAGCCCCAAACCCTGGTTGAAATTAATCTAGAGTAGAACTAAGACTGTGGCTTTGTTCTCAGAATTGCCCAATTTACTGGGACTGAACAACTGACCACGATTTGGGGACCCTGGTGAATGTGTACAAAAGGGAGTCTATAAATGTAACTATCTACAATAAAGTCTGGGAGCGATCTGGATTTTTTAGTAGAATGAATGTGGAGTGAGCAGTTGTACCCACAGGGCAGCTGAAGCTAGAGATGGCTCACTGGTCCAGGAGCCCCTGGTTTTTAGCTCTAACTTGCTGAGTAGCAGGAAGTCTCTCCCTAGTTTGTGCCCAGGTTTTTTTTTTTTTTTTTTTTTTTTTTAGGAAACAGGGATTGAACTCTCAGGCCCTTGCGCTTGCCAGGGAAGTGCTTATTCCACTGAACCATCTCCCTGGCCCTGTGCCCAGGTTTTCACATGAGTAGACCAGATGACTGCCAGTGGCTTCTATGGATAATGTTTTCCATTTGCTGGGAGTTTACCAATGCAAGTACCATGATGGGCACCATGTGAGACTAGGTACCTCACAGTATCTCATTGACTTTTTCCAATTATATTATTATTATTATTATTATTGGTGGAACTGGGGATTGAACTCAGCCCCTTGCACATGCCAGGCTAATGTTTATTCTACCCTAATATCAGATACTTTTTTTTTTTTTGTATTTTTTCGTATTTGGAAGGGTCTACAGGGTGTTCAGGGTCTTACTACTAGATCAGACTCGTAGTGATCTGCCTGTTTACAGCCTCTCAAGAGCTGGGATTACAGGTGTGTGCCACCATACCCAGTCTCAACTGCTGTCTGAGTGTGCTTCAGAGGCAGGGTCAGCCTGGCAGGGCCCGGGATTGAACCCCAAGCTCCTGCGCCTTATTGTAGGTGCTTTAATCCACTGAGCTAAAAAAAAAAAAAAAAAAAATCTACTGAGCTATTTGGCGTGCCCTTAGATACAGTTGACACTATTTTTTTTTCCTTTTTTTCTTTTTTCTTTTTTCTTTTTTTTTTTGTATTTTAGGGAAGGTGTAGGAGACACTTCCAGGTCCTTGTCTTGTCCAAGAAGCCAATATTTGTAATCCCAAAGTTACGTTATTGGAATCCCATCAAATTGATTCCAATCTACCGCTTACAATGTAGCCCATGGCGAAAATAAAGACACTAAATTATATCTTCAATGATCAGGGAATGAAGGGGCTCTAAGTCCAGCCACGAAGATGGCTTTCTGGACAGGGCCTCACCCAATGGCTTGAGGACTGACTGAGAATTGTGGGAAAGAGACTACTATGAGCTGAGCTGAGCTAGGTGGGTGGCCTAAATTTACCTCTGTGATATGCAGAGAGGATATGCAGAGAGAGTAATCTGATGTTTTGGTTAAGTCTGGTGCTTCAGCTTTTTTTTTTTTTCTTTTAATTTTATTTATTTGTGTGTGTATGTGTGTGGCTAGCTCAGCCCACCAGGGGGTGGGGCTGGCTGGCACGTGGTGCTGGGGGATTGAACCGAGGTCTCTGTGCTTTGCTAAGCTTGTTCTAAGTAGGTGCTTTAGACCACTGAGCCATCTCACCAGCTCTGGTGCTTCAGCTCTGGTGTAGCCTTTCAAGCCCCAGGAAGTCATGGCCTCTGTCTCTCGAGGCTCGATCCCAGCTGGCGCCGCGGAGCATTTAGCTCTACCGTCCTGTCTCAACTTGGCTCACATTAAAGAGCAGCTGGTATAGGTTACCAGGGAAACATGCACCCACCTTCAAAGACTATCACCAGCACCTCAGCTAGACCAATACACATTACTTAAGGCCAACTGAAGGATAAACAGAAGTCCTAGCCAGCTCTGTACATAACAATACAAGGAAATAGGGTCAGGCTCAGTCAAAATGGAGACAATCCTCTTCTTTCAAGGAGATCTGCTCAGGTGGTCCTCCACAGAAGGAGTCTACAGGGTGTTTAGGATCTCAGTCCTAGATTCTACTCATAGTGATCCACCTCTTTACAGCTTCCCAAGAGCTAGGATTACAGGCATGCACCTCCATGCCCAGTCTCAATTGCCATTCCTCAGGTGATGGGCATCTTGGTTGTTTCCAAGATTTGGCTATCACAAATTGTGCTGCTATAAACATAGGTACACATATATCACTATGATATGATGTTTTCAGATCCTCTGGGAAAATTCCCAGTAGAGGAATAGCTGGTTTAAATGGGATTTCCAATCCAAGTTTTGTTTTTGTTTTTTTTTTTAATTTTTTTATTTATTTATTTATATTTTTGTGTGTGTGTGGCCAGCTCAGCCCACCAAGGGGCGGGGCTGGCTGGCATGTGGTGCTGGGGATTGAACCGCGGTCCCTGTGCTCTGCTTTGCTAAGCTTGTTCTAAGTAGGTGCTTTAGACCACTGAGCCATCTCACCAGCCCATCCAATCCAAGTTTTCTAAGGAGTCTCCACACTGATTTCCATAATGGTTGCACCAGTCTACATTCCCACCAGCAGTGGAGAAGGGTTCCTTTTTCCCCACAGCCTCTCTAACATTTGTTTTTGGTTGATTTCTTTGTGATAGCCATTCTTTCTGGGGTAACATGATATCTCAATGTTGTTTTAATTTGCACTTCACGAATGGCTAGTGATGTGGAGCATTTCAACTACTGTCTCAGCATGCCCCAGGGGTGGGGCTGGCACGGCAGGCCTGGAGATTGAACCCCAGGTCCCTGTGCCTGCTTGCAGGCACTTTAATCCACTGAGTTATTTGGCCAGTTCTTGACACTATTTTTTGTAAGTGGGAAAACAGGCTCACAGAGACTAAGTAGCTTGTCCTGGTAGCAGAGCCAAGACTTCACTAACTCTAAGTACAATACTCTTCAACTGCTTCAACAGGGTCAGTTCTCTGTGAATCTCAGCTACTAGGCACTCTGGCCACTAGGCTCCCAGAGTTGAATGTGCTTTGAAAGCCTATACAAACTTCAGAGCACTGCAGAATCTTTGGATCTGCAACAAGGAAAGCTCTTTCTTCCTCTCTCCACCCACAGGCAGACCCACAGTCCCTGGAAGTACCCCTTTCAGCCCTCCATGGTCTGCAAAACCCAGACATGACAGGTGTCTAGCTGCCCTACAACACCGCAGGTGTTTCCCTCATCAAAGGTCATCAAATCTCTGACTTCACACTACCCTTTGAGGACTGACTGTACTCCAAGTGGACCCTAGCCAGGCCCCAGTTTCTTTCCCATTATGTCAGGGGCCCAAGCTCTTAGCTTCAGAAACTAACTTTATTTTGGGGGGGGGACCAAGGAATTGAACTCAGGCCCTTGTACTTCCCAGGCAAGCACTTATTCTACTAAGCTATCTTCCGGCCCCTTCATTGCCTTTCCAACTGTCACCAGATTATTATTATTATTTTATGTATTTTGTACAGGGTCTCACTATGCAGCTTGGACTCATAGTGATCCTCCAGTTTTCAGCCTCCTGGCCCTGGGATTATAGGTGTGCACCACCACACCAGGCTTGGTGCCCGGCTCAGCATGCCCAGGGGCAGGGTCAACACAGAATGTGGTGCCTGGGGTCAAACTCAGTCCTTGTGCTTGCCTAAGTAGGTGCTTATTCCACTGAGCTGTCTTGCCAGCCCTGTCACCAGATTATTAATACACCTGGGGTCTTAC